TGCTTCGAGAAAACCTTGATCTGCTTGCTGAAGTCAGAGAAGAAGCTCGGCTTCGAACTCTTGTATACAAGCAGAAAACTAGCCAACTTCTATAATAAACGGGTCCGCCCTCGCACATTCAAAATAGGAGATCTTGTTCTCAAAAAAGCTGGCCTAACAGGGTTTGAAACTCGTTTTGGCAAACTCGCCCCGAATTGAGAAAGCCCTTATACCGTGGCCGAGGTGCCACATCCTAGTGCCTATGTCCTCCAAGACGCTGAAGGAAAGAAAGTTCCTAGAGTCTGGAATGTCAATAACTTGAAGAAATTTTACCCCTAATAAAATTCTTTCAAGAAATCTGTCTTACAGCTCTTATTTAGTGATTATTGAAATTCATTTTATCTCTTATTCCATGTATCCGAGGTCAATCAGTACTTAAATCTCACTTCACATGTGAAGTACTTTATTTCCTTTTAAGTTCGTTCACAATGATGTACTCATTCCTAATCTACATGGAAGTTATTTACTCCTTCTTACTTCATCTGAAGTGACTTACTTCCCCTTAGTTCATTTCTGAAATGGTTGCCTTTGTAAAGCAAATACAAAACAAACAGATGATTTCATAAATAAATTTTCATTTCAACTAAAATAAATATTACAAGCTGTTTAAATGTCTTTACAAAAAATAAAAAACACAAACAAAATTAGTTTTCTGCTGGAGGAGGTGGCTCCATTGGCTCCTGTTCAGCTGGAAGAGGTGGCTGTCTTGGCTGCTGCTCGTCCGGCAGAGGAGGCTGCTCATTGTCGGAGGGAACTGGATGAATCTCCACTTCTGGAACTGGTTGGCTCTCATCCACTTCAGCTCCCTCCACTCTTGCCTCCACCTCGTCTTCCTCTACCTCTGCCTCTTCTTCCTCCACTGCCACGAACTCGAAGTCGAACTGTGGAGGGAAAACAGCACGTCCGTTTGCATCATCCTCCCACCTCAGTTTGATCTGAGGACGGAAGTCTACTGACATGCTCTCTCCATCTTCCTCCACTCCTCCTTCTTGCTCTCCGAAGGTGATCTTCGTAATATCCACTTCGGGATATTCTGCCTTCACCTTATTCCTGCAGTCCGTGAACACGATGATGGCAGTAGGCAGCCGATATAGGTTGACAATGTTGTCAAACGAGCTGGAGCTGATGAAGTTGCTAATGTGCTCCTTCATCCCATTGTGCACCAAGGTCTGCACGTTCCCCTTCAGCTCCAAGAAAGCCTCCTTCGTCAGCTTCAGTTCTTGCGCCTAAGCCTCACACTCGCTTTCAAAGATCTTTCGTTTACTCTCTTCAAAGCCGAGCTTGGTGCTCAGGGAATACCTCTCCTGTTCCAACTGCTTCACAGTTGGAACCACCTCGTCCAGCGACTCTTGCAGATCTTTATTTTTCTTCTCCAGCTCCTCCTTCTCCTTCTACAGCTAGTCACACTGCCTCTGCAAGAGTGCGCGTTCCTTTATACTCTCCCTGAACTCCTGGGCTAGACCATTCACCCAGCTCGCGCTCTGCAAATCAAAGCAGAAGTTCAAAGAGAAAGAAGAGAAGAAGAAACAGAATAAATAAACAGCAGCACTAATTTAACGTACCTCAAGAACATGCTTCACAACAGATGCTCCCCCGTACCTCAGAGCTTCCTCCCACGCGTTGCACTTGTCCACTTCGGGGAAGGTGCTGTTGATGAACCACCTAGCCCCCATTATGTTATTTCCCTCGAACAGGCTGCTCTAAGGCACCACCGGGGAAACAGGGCCCTTTCCCTTACCAGGAGCCCATACCTCAGCCCCCTCCTCCAACCGTCTGAGCTAAGGGTTCAGCTCAACAGGAGGAGGCTGCGGTACGAACTCAGGAACCCCATTCCCCTCTTCCTCCTCCACCACTTTCTGCTTCTTCTGCAGTGCCCTCCTCTCCTCCCAACCCTTCCTCTTCAGCGCTAGCACCTCCTCCTCCATCTCCGCTGAAGCCAAGGGCACTACCTCCTTCCCGGTCCTCTCCTCATCCACTTTCTTGGTTGAAGTCTTTGACTTCTTCCTTGGCTTCTTGGGGATGGGCGCTCCTCCAGCAGTATTCAAAAACTGGTCCATTTCAGCTGCAAAGCAAGAAACACAATGTTAGTCACAATTTTATATTCTACATTTAACGCTACAGTGCATGATAAACAAACCTTCACTCAGAGCGCTTGGCCTATAGAGCTCAACAACCTCTATGCATGCCGCGCTGGTGAGGTCCATGATGCTCAACACATCTCCCCCCTTCCTCACCAACTTCCCCACTTCTTCCTCCTCATCCTCATTTAAACTAAACCTATTCTGGTTGGCCCTTTTGGCCTTCGAGGAGGCTAACGCCCTCACCTCGGCATCCCCTTTCCCCCACTCCGTGTCATCCACAAAAAAGAATTTTTCCTTCCATCCCTTAATGGATGAAGGACCCGCAGTGAATAAAATCCTACTCTCCTTCTTAGCTACCCTAGGGGTGAAATAATACCATCCCTTATCCCTCCTACTTCCTCCCTTTAAAACAAAAAAGTATTTAAACATATTTACAGTTGGCACACTAATCCCCTGAGCTCGGCAATAAACTAAAAAACCTATTATTACCCTCATTGCGTTGGGGACCAACTGTGTCAACCCTATGTTGTAATCTAATAGTAAACCCACAAGCAACTCCGGAATTGGAAACTTAAGCCCAGCATACAAATAATGGGAGTATAAGGGCATCCAATGATCCAGAGGAGCAAAGCACGCCCTCTCCCCTTCCCCAACTGGCCTAACTAACACTCGCGAAGAGATCTCGTAATTCTCTACCAAGTGACCCAGGCTATCCCTGGTCCTTAGCTCAGACCTGTACTGCTTCACCTCCTCCACTATCTCCGCATTCACATCATACTCTCCCCCTCCTCTACCATCTATTTCTACTACGGTAATGGGTATGTTATCTCCCCCAACCCCCACCACCTTATTTTCCCTAACCTCTACCACCTTATTTTCCCTAACCTCTACCACCTTATTTTCCCTAACCTCTACCACCTCATCCCCCTCAACCTCCACCACCTCATCTCCTCTCACCCCTTCGACCGTCTTCTT